GTTAGATGCTAATGTAAACACCGACCATATTACGTCCAAAACAGTCGGGCATTGTTTCTGATAGCAACGTTTCTGATAGGGCCGTGGGTCCANTGCTCGACAAAAGTGAAATAGTGAAAATATCTCTGTTGTATATATAAGACTATGGACTACGACATTTAGGTTGACCGTTTATTGAACACGTTGTTGCATACGCTCCCATGACAACACCACAACAACACAACTGTATCCGGTTCACACATCCCAAAACTCCCGGTGCCATCTTAAAGGCACAGTCACACCTGATGTGACACATACATTAGCTAACAATGACATTATTGTTCTATTAATATAAAGGGAGGTCAGGTACTCTTTAAAACAGCTGCTAGTTATGGGTACTTTTTACTGAAGTACATTTCAAAGCCTCTTTACTTTGACTTGAGTAAAGAAGTTTAGTCAGTACTTCTACTTTTAACAGAGTATTTTTAAACACGAGTATCTGTACTTCTACTTGAGTAAAGGATGTGTGTACTTTTGCCATCTCTGCATAGAATGATTTTTACAAGACGGCTGAAATGAACGGTACTGATAAAATGTGGTTCATTTGTATGTAATCTGCAGAGTGGAAGCAAAGTGACGGTGACAACGACTCCATTCGAGAACACCTCCATCAAAGTGGGTCCCGCTCGGAAGTCCAGCTATAAATCCAAGATGGCGCGGCGAAGCAAGAGGACGGGAGCCAAGGAGGGGCAAGAGTGCGTTACTGCAATGCTTTAAACTAGAATAAATAATTGTTTTATTTATTAGCTTATCTATTATTTTAATATATTTATTTTTATGTTTTTATTTTATTTGCCTATTTATTATTCTAATATTTTTTTTAATGTACTATTTTTTATCCTCTGACTTGATTTTAGTTAATTATTTTCAGTTTGATTATTTTAATACCTTCATTCCTCTCAACCAATCATATCTGTTCGTCTCTCAGGAAGAAGCGCAGCTCTCTGTTCAGGAAGATCACCAAACAGTCGAACCTGCTCCACACCAGCCGCAGCCTCTCCTCTCTGAACCGCTCTCTGTCCTCTGGAGACAGTCTGCCCGGCTCCCCGACCCACAGCCTCTCCGCCCGGTCCCCCACCCAGAGTTACCGCTCCAACCTCACCGAACCCCCCTACCTGGGTCAGTACTCAAAGTCAATCTTTCAGTTTGTGTGTACAGACAGAGAGATCGAAATACTGTTTCCCACAATCCTGAATAAAAGGATACAAATATATATAAGAATATGTATATACCTATATATACAGGGGTGCACATAACTGGTACGCATGCGCGGCAAACATCTGAAATGCGTACCGTCACTTGTCTCACTAAGCGCATTTGCGTACCGGCAGACTTGTGAAGCATTTCCACTGGACGACAGAGCCGGTCGCCGTGGGCACAGACGGGGCTGCTGGTAACGTCGGTGTGTACAACGGAATTGTGCCACAACTTCCAGCACGAGTTCCACGCGCATGCTCCACTAGCCCCCACCCCTCCCGTCGACGTTCAATACCACACCGACACAGCCAGACCCCCCCGTCGACGTTCGCGAAACAGAGGGGCTGAACACATAACCTTGCGTGGGCAGCCCTGAGTACCAGACATTGTCTCCTGGTACTCATTTGAGTTACTCACTAAGAAAGTTATGTGCGCCCCTGTATATATACACAATCAACAGACACATTTTGTGTAAATGTGTTTGTTGATTGTGTATATAGGTACATACTGTATGCACACATTAAGACCTAAATAAAAGCACAACAATCAATATTTACAAAATAACAGTCACTTCAATATCTTTGAGAATGTACATTAGTGCAAGACTGTGAAGTGACTGTTATTTTGTAAATATTGATTGTTGTGCTTTTATTTAGGTCTTAATGTGTGCATACNATTTGACACATGTCCCGCTCTTATGTGCCCCTCCCCCCACATGGATCACACCTGGCACACGCAATACATGTTCAGTGTCTATTCTTTGTATATTTACTGCAGTGTTTCATGTATACCAGTAGTCTGATTCAATATTTACAGTTTGAAAGGGTGTTAAATGAAATTTGGTGATGATTAATAGTTTTTGTGTTAATGTAATGGCAGTTAAAACAGGACCGGTCAAATTTTACCGCGAACACCAAAGTAAGGGGGGGGGGAACGAAGACAATAGGAGGGTTAACTGATGAATAAAACGTACTTATGGACTAAATGAATAGAGATTTTATCCGTTAGTGAATATAAAGGTCCTGAAAACGGTCACATCGTTTAATAAACCCATGGATTTAGCTCTTCATTTTTACCTTAAATAAAATAATCAATATGCCTTTCCTCCATTTCGATGATAAAGTATGATAGGAGAGCACTGGGTAATCTTGAGATTCACACTATTGGATGATATTATATTGAATAAAAAGCTGGAAGAAATGAAGACAGAGAGGCAATAGCTGACTTCAAAAGAAGAAAGATCACCAATTAGCAAAAGAGACTCCTTTTGCATTGATCAAGTTTTATTCCTTTTGTTTCGCCTATTCAGAGTGTATTGAAGATGCACAGAAATAAGCAATGTATACCTGATACATCAAATGTTCGATTTAGTATATAAAAAAGGTCAAAATATTGCATTTAATTACCCAATTTTAAGCTTTAATTTATTCTAAATCACCTTTTAGAAAGATAAAAGGTACCAAAAATACAACTCAAATATTAAATGATTGAATACAGAAAGAAAAACTTCAATTATCAGAACATTTCACACATTTGTGGTTCCTTTCAAAACATTCTTTTGTGGTAAGTGGTCATTAACTGGTGGAGTTTTGGCTAACGACCTCAGTGTTTGTAAAACACCTTTCCTCCCAGATGTAACTGTATTGTTTGTAATATAGAGCTTCTTGATTCTTCAGCACATCTTTCCTTGCTAAACAAAGATACAAATGTGATTAGCAGGCACTTAAAGGAGCTGCTAATGACTCGATGCTTTGTATTAATGCAGTGTAATTCATTATAACAGCTCACTTTAAGAAAACTGTTTATTTCAGCAATCAGGAGCTGCTTAGCATTCCTGAATGTCAGCGTTCCCATCCTCACTGAAGATCATCGGTGTGCCGTTAAATCACTTCAGCTGGTTGAGGCCGCTGTCATAGGAGGAGATTTTCGCAAAAAAAAACACAATGGTGCTAAATGTTATTGCTGTCCAATAATAACTCTTGGTGATTTGTGGTCCATTTAAAACTATTTGGATTATCTGAAAATGGCAGACCTGGATTTATAAACTAATGAATAGCCGTTTCTATAAGTGGGGTATGTAGTGTTATATGCAGAGACAATGTGGGGGAGCCGAGTGTGAAACTGTGGTACTTATGACATGCAAAACAAACAAAAACACCCCACTACTACTGTACACTTTATATACACACTAAAGAAAAAGCATACATTTACCAAAAAGGCTTGAATCCATGATATTTATACCCAAAAACGTACTCAACAAACCACTGAATTTATAATGAATATAAGTGTGAGTGTGTTTGCTTAAAGGGGACCTATCATGCAAAATGCACTTTGTGATTTCTTTTCTACATAACGATGTGTCCCCGGTGTGTCAGGAAACTCACGCGGCGTCAGAAAATAAAACCCTCTCTCTTTTCCTCCGTACCCAAATCTCTAAAAACGGGGCTGCAACGGAGCTGATCCAGATTTGCGTCC